TATAAATAAATATCTACATATGATTTTATATATATTATAAATCTATATATGATAAAATCATATGTAGATATTTATTTTTAAAAATTCAAGGATAAATAGACAATTAAAATTCTCTATAATAGAAGAAACACCGAAAAAATATTAAGAGGCTTTTCATAATGTGGTCTTTTCAAACACTTCACATGATCTCATTTAATATGTTCCTAATCACACATCTCAGAAACATCAAAATTACACAGTGAAATTGACCTTTATTTTGAGGCATATGAGTTGAACATATTAAGACTTAATATGTTCAACTAATGCAGAATGGATTACTATCAATAAAATAAATCTTGGCATTATAAAATAAAATATGCAAATACAAATTTTTCTATTTACTGTATCAATAAAATTAATATACAAAATAATATATATATGAACATTTAAAATGAATAAAACTGTGAATTATAATTTTGAACAAAATAGTTGAAACGTGATACGGCAAAGATTAGGATGATGATAATTTAGAAATATCTGGGGATGCTGTGTTATCAACTTCAAAATATACAGCAAACACACCAACAACTGAAGATTGAAATGTGTAATTTTCAGATTAACTTCAATAAATGTAAATATTTATTAAATTATCAGTGAAAAATATGTTGTAGCAAAATTGATTGTATTATGTCGTAAATGTGTTCTCAGTTATGAGTTGTATAACTTAAATTAATAAACTAAACTGAAACTAATTTGGAAATATGAGCATTAAGCATTGTTGGTTGTTCAATTAAGTTTGAAGTTCATACAGTCTCTTACTCTTACTTTAACTTTCTTCAGAATTTTAAAAGTTGAAATCCATTCAACTTTTTGTAATTTTAATTTTTTCTGAAATAATAAAACAAACATACAATGTTATTATATGAAGATACAAAAATGCTAGTTTAACAAATATTTCTGCTGTATATTTTCCAATATCTGTTTTTTTAAAAAAAGAAAAATAAGATCTGAATCTAAACTATCCTGTTAGAACAGTAGTTTATATAATTCTAGTGATGCATAGATATTACTTTAATTTTTATAAATTTAAGTCATTACTTTTATTAATGTTAGTCTATTGCGACTATAATTTATTAATTAACAGGACAAGTTAAATCAGTATAATGACTCCTATTAATACATTATAGTCACAAAAGACTAACATTAATAAAATACAGTAGAGCGTCGTTTATCCGAAAGTCAATTATTCGAAAGAATTCCAGTCGGCAAATTTAAATTTTCGCCTGTGCTGTGGCACTGCAATTTTTGGCTACGTCTTGGGCTACTCAAACATTTTACGTTTTTGATATTAAATTAACTTCTGAACTATAATTTTTTATTGTTTTTATATTTTTCAATATATTTATTTTGTTTGTACAAAATAAAAAAAGAATTTTTAACGATACTATAGTCTTCGTTAGGCTTAACATTGATGAAAATTCAATGTGAAGCGACACGCAATGGAGAAAAATTTTAACATGCGATAGGTTAATATAGTTTTTCGTACATAATCGGTTATCCAAAATATCGATTTTCTGAACCCCAGTCCCCAATTGATTTGGATAAACGACGCTCTACTGTAGTATTTAAAAAGCTAGAGATAAGTTACTGTTATTTAATACTCAATGTTGAAATTAATTTTCATTCATTACTTTACTATTATTAATAAAACTGACTCTCTTGTTCACTTTTCAGTATTTCAGTTTAGTAGATTTAATTAGGAGCAAGCATTCAAAATTGAAATTTATTTTGAAGCTCTCTTACCTGTTTAAATTTATCAGGCACATTGAATTTTCTTTAGGAAAAGGCTACAAAGTGGCAACAAAGTGGTGAAATTGATGGTTTAACTACAAATGGTGTTTTAATAATGCATCCTAGAGGTCCTTTCTCTGCTGGGACAGAAGCTGGAATTTGGAGAGAGATATCAGTTGGAGGTGGTGTCTATTACTTAAGAATAACCAGATCTGCTGCTCAGAAAGGTGTAAAAGTAAGTTAGTTTTTTTTTTGTTTATTCATGTTTAATAAAGTATTTTAATGTAAAGATGTTTACACCAAAAGTCTATTATAGTAGAGCAATCTAAAGTGAGAAGAAGATATATATTATACATAATCATTTTGCTTTTTATATCAGTTTTATTCATTTAATCCTGAGCACTATTTTGGAAATTTGTGTTTAATAATTCATTTCACCAATTATTGGATTAATTTAATTATATATATTGTAATGTTTTTAGGACAGAGTAATATTAATTTACAGCAATTGTACATTGTCAGAAGCAGTTTGCAAAATTCTTTCAAAATATAGTGCTTTTCTCATTGCTCATAAAGTGCATCAAAAATGCTCTATATACTTTATTTTTAATTATTACATGTTTTAACCATTTAATAACACATCAAAGTGCTAAATACTTACATATTGCACTATATTTATACTGTAATATTTAGCATTTTGATATTTGATTAAAAAATAATTTGACATTAATATCAAAGTTTTTCTTGGTAAAACAAGTTCTTCAGAGAGTTAAAATATATGTAATTTTTGAAAAACTTCTGTCAACATTAGCTGAGCTGAACAGGAATGAGAAGGCTTTTATAGCAAGATTACTGAATAGTCATGTTTTTTGAATAGATTTGCCTGAATTTCACAGAATTGTGACCCTCTTCTGACAAATTTTCAATTAGGTTTTAGTTGCAGACTATGACAGCAATTAGTACATACCAACATACCATATTTACTTGCATATAAGATGACCTCACATATAGAATGAGGTGTGACTTTAAAAATCAAAGTAAAGAAAATTAGATTTATTAATACACTTCTAATTTTATTTTGTTTAATTNTTATATACAGTAGAGCCTCGATTATCCGACTCAATTGGGGACTGGGGTTGGTCGGATAATTGAAAAGTCGGGTAACCGAAAAGTATGAAAAAATCCATTATTAGTGTAGTATACAGTAGAGCCTCGATTATCCGATTCCCGATTAACCGACACCTCGGTTAACCGACCGTCCTAGTCAGCAAATTTCAAATGTCCTCTAGTGATGTGGCGCTACAATATTTGGCTATGTCTTGGCTACTTTAATATTATTTTTGTTATATTTTTGCGCGTTTTAGCTGGCAACACTCATTCGACCATGAAAGGGAGCCAGTATTTAAACGAGGTTTAATTTTCTAATTTTTAACGATACAATTGCGACGATTATTATTTTAAAAAATTTTTGTTAGACTTAACATCGATGAAAATTCAACGTAAAGTAGATTAATAGCGATATACTAATATAATAATTACATGGGATATAATAATACACTACACTAATAATGGATTTTTTCATACTTTTCGGTTATACGACTTTTCAATTATCCGACCAACCCCAGTCCCCAATTGAGTCGGATAATCGAGGCTCTACCGTATTATTATATCCCATGTAATTAGTATATTAGTATATCACTATTAACCTACTTTGCATTGAATTTTCATCGATGTTAAGCCTAACAAAAATTTTTTAAAATAATAATCGTCGCTATTGTATCATTAAAAATTAGAAAATTAAACCTCGTTTAAATACTTGCTCCCTTTATGGACGAGCCAGTGTTGCCAGCTAAAACACGTAAAAATAATATTAAAATAGCCAAGACAGCCAAATATTGTAGCACCACATCACTAGCGGACATTTGAATTTGCCGACTAGAACGCGGTCGGTTAACCGAGGTGACGGTTAATCGGGGATCAGATAATCGATGCTCTACTGTATCTAGATGAATCAAAAAAACATTCTTCAAGTCTTTGAGAGGTGAAGTCATGGTGTTTGCTTTTGCCTGATTGTGCATTTCTTGTTAAACTCTTCTATCAATGAAATAGCAATGCTAGCTCTGCATGTAAGGAATTTTGGCACTTAAAAGGCTCAAAATTTGTTAGTAAATGTACATAATATGCACATTGAGAATAGCAGTGTTAAATTTTACCCTATCAACTGAGTTTGAAAGTAAAATGTTTTCCAAAAATTAAAACTACATACTACATACTCAGGACATGTATACCAAATTTGGTTGAGATTTGCCCAATAGTTCTTTTTTTCAAAAAGCTCTGAACTCATACTCTTTACTTATAATCATTCTATAGAATATGGGAAGGAAATAATTTAATGTTGTCTTGTAATAGAATTTTTTGTCTATATTTTTCTTCAGTGGAATGATGAAATGACAACTACAAGAAATCTATTGGAATGATGTAATGCTAAATTGATGAGCACTTTCCAAAAGAAAAAAAATTAAGTTAAAATTTTAGAAACATACCATTCTTTTTAATTGCTGTGCAGAGTGACACTATATACCATTTATTTTACACACTGATAGACAGGTTCAACTGTATGTAAAAACTTGAACCTCTTTATCATGAAATTTATTTTTTCCCCTGCATTTTCAGCCTAAATTCAATATATTTTCCATGTTTATCTCAAATAATTTTCTACCAAAACCTTTATATTTCAAATTATGGGCTGAAGTATCAATTACAAGTTCAAAGCTTGGCAACACTTTGAAAGCATAAATTGTAGTTTAGAAGTATCTGTTGTAAAGTACTGTACGTAGTTACAATCAATGCTATTTTTCTCCAATTGGCTATGAGTTTGGTTTGGTTTATTTGTTTACAGCAACACAACATATGGGCGATCTGCCAAGCAGGTGACTACTGGGAAGACTTTCTACGGGAAAATGGCCCTTATTTAGATGTTATAAACATGAAGAAAATCCAGAAAACTCTACGTGACCAACCCTTTGGCCAATGACCAGGGTTCCACTTGGCTACTGGTAGGCTAAGGCTAAAAGTTTGGCTTGTATCTTATTGGTTGAAAAAAGTTATGCATTAGAAACTATTGACAAACTATTTATGTTAAGATATGTCAAAAATGTTTTATTTATACCTTATACAGGTTTGATCTGTACTTGCTATTTTATTAATAAAATACCATACTTCAAATCAAACTTATTACTGTTTACTATGTAGGAACCTCTATATCTCAACCTGTCCAACTCAAATTTTTTTTCCTGTTCCTGTGATATTTGAAACAGATAGATTCAATTATGTATAATTAAATGATTCTTTGTAAATAAATTTTTAATATATAATGCTATATTATAAAATATTTTAATTTTTTAATCTTTTTTCTTGTATAGGCTATATTAGACAGTAAACAGCATTCTATATCTTACACCTTATCAAGAAACCAAGCTGTTATTGTAGAATATATGCCAGATGAAGAAACTGATATGTTTCAGGTATTTTGAATTGTATAAAAGAAGTATTTTATAAGTAGTTGAATAATGTATTAAATATTAAATAATGATCTGTAAGTATTAAAGTTAAATGAAATTAAGAGATTGACAGTAGTTCTGAACACTGAAGAAATTTTCACATCAAGATATTCAAGATAAGTTGGGCAATGTATGTCCTCAGGTATTTTATACCCAGATGCTTGTAGTAGTTTTTTCTGACTTTTCAAAAATTTCCAATAATTTACATTTTTTGTCCTACAGTTAAAACAAAGATGGACTGTTGACAATAAGAATATTAAAATGAATTAACTATTATAGTATAATAAAATTAATGAAATGTTAATTTAATGTGTAATGTGTGTATAAATTGTTTGAAGAAAACTTTTATGTACTGTATGGAAGCAAATTTCTTTTAAAAAAAAAATTAGCTTAAAACTTATTTGTGTATTATTTACATTTCTGTCAAAATGTCATTTACAGTCGACCCCCTTATAAGACAGTAGATACATTCCATTCTTTAGGAATCCGATTTCTTACGAGTCCTTCCAATCGCAGCCCGACCCGTGTCAAGTTTACGGACTACGGCTGTTTGAAAGGTTTTCTTCCATAAAATTAATCGATTCTAGACTAATCCGACTCAACATTTCCAAAATATGTATATATTTTTTTTTTTTCGAAATAATCCGTATAAACTACGCTATAAACAAAAAATTGTAGTGTACCGAGTGTGCACCATTCGACATCACCGTTGCTCAAGCTTGTTTTAGTCGCGGAACAACTCAGCAAACCACGGCCGCGATTTCTGATGTTATTTTTCTGCGAAAACTTCACTGAACTTTGGAGACATCATTAATATAAATAATTTTGATCGCTGTTGAATAAGAAATGTTTCTTTCAAAAGAAATGTATAAAATTACAGTACTGTATTAGACTTACGGTACCTAATTTACATACTGTACAGACGATAGTTA